GTGGCATTCTCGTAACCCAAAAACAGAGCCGAGAAGAACCAGGTAAAACCTATTTCTCATGAATGATGAAACCATCATTCGACTTCTATCAAAGTCTAAGCATTACTAAGCATCAGAGATATCGACCTATTCATAGTAACATGGTAGAACTAAGGATACCTAAATATCAAGGTAATCATGCATCAACAGTATTCGACCAACTCCTAATTACTTAATGCACATCTCACAAGACGTAAGTGTAGTAAAGATTTGTAAAGCTAGAGAAGGGTGGTATGCTCCGGGGCTTGCCTGCGTTGCAGAGAAGGTTAGTTTTCATAGACGGATCACATGAGTTAGACCTGGCACCAATCATCACTGGTGGATGGACCTTCTCCGAAACTTGATCAACACGAACCTTCTCACTCTCGTACACTACATGTAATAAATAATGCTTTGCTTAACATGATGGACTACATACCATGATGCATGATGAGAGGCATAACAAGTGCATAACAGAACTTTAACAAACTTAAAAAAGTTGAGTACAACTTTCCTTCACCAAAGAACTAAGGTTTGTATCATAAAAGCATTTCAGTTAATTAACTATCAAGTTATTTAGTTGTTTACCATGAAAGGCACTACACTAACATGGACTAGCAAGAGATTAACGTGAAAAGCATCTACATAGCATAACCACTTGCTCAAACTATTGCATACAAGGAGCATTCAAGGCTTACATACATGCATCTAATAATTAAACATTTAATTAAAACATTTTAATTACTAACCAAAAGTTGATTATGAACACACCAAGAATATAATTAAGCTACCAAGGAACAGAAGAAGTCATTTTAAGATTTATTCTAACTATTATGGTAATTATTAATTAATAATTAAAGCATGTAATTAAGTGGATAATTTAAAATTATCAAAATAGTACATAATTTTTATGAAGGCAGGTCTAAGTATGTAAAGCACACACAAAAAGTTTCATGATTAAAGGATAATTATTCTAGTCTATAAAAATCATGGAAGATGCATTTATTAATTAAAAGAAGTAATTTTTAGTCATACAAAAATTACTGAAAATAACCAATTCATATTTTTCCATGATAAAGCATAACATAACAAAGCTACATAGAAAATTTCACATTTTTAGCATGCTTCTAGAATTAGTTATGAAATAAACAAAGGTCAGCATGTTTTAACATTTTCTGAAAAAGGATTAAGTCATTTTCTGCGCCTAATCATTTTCTCACCCACGTTACATTTACCTACCGTCACTGACGCGGGGGCCCGGGTCAACAGCATAGGGTTGGCCGCGCTGACCGCTGCGGCGCTGGCTTTGACCGGCGGGTTCTCCCGGGTGGTGACCTCGCCGGCGACGAGGTCAACTCCGGCGAACTCCCCTCTTCCCTGCGCACACGTTGGTGGTACTGGATGAATGGTTAGGGAACAACAGCAACCATGCCGGCGGCCATGGCGGCACAGCGGTGCTCCGGCGAGGCGGAGCTCGTCGACGACGGAAAGACCACCAACGCGCTCAGGGTGACCACGCGGATCTATCTACACTATTGATTGAAACGATTGGGACTTCACGCTTGCTTGGCCACGGTCATGGCGGACGGCGGCGCGGCAGCGGGCACGGCGCTAGTGCGCTACGGCACTTAACTAGCTCAGATAAAGACGGTTACACGTTGAGGATGCTCACCGCGACCTACCCAGCGTGATGATTGAAGCATATGCGGCGTGGACGCGACTGCCGGCGTTGAGGTCGGACACGGCGGCGTGAAACGACGGAGAGGACGGCGTTCCGACGGCTCCTGTGCGGTATAGGTAAAGGAAAAGAGCCGATAAGCATCACGGCATCGCAAACAGCCCAAAACATCAAAGGAGAAAGAGAGAGGGGCGCCACAACGGGCCGGCCACGTTGAGGTGGTCATGGCGGACCGGCCGCGACGAGTACGGCGGGCGCCGCTGGTTCCGGCGACTAGGGCCAACGCAAGCGGGCTCAGCAGGTGCGCAATAGTGCAGCGAAGCTAGCCGTGAAGTGGAGCGGGTGGAGGTGAAGCGAGAACGGCGAATTTGGCCAGCGAGGTGAGCTCGGTAGTGGTGGAGCTGAGAGGGGAAAAAGGGTAGAGCGCCAGCGGCTGCGGGCTCTTATCGGCAAGGGCGACACGTGAGGGGGCGACAGCATCAGCTTGGCCTGCCACCGCGAAGCTGGTGCGTGTCCGTGCGCGAGGAGGTGGCAAAACAGGGGCGGCAGCTGGCGGTGAGCACACAGGTGCGTGGCAGCTGCTTACCGACCAACATTAACCGACTGAAACCTTAACTTCCCTTCTCTCGTTCTCGTGATTTTGTGTAGAAACTTGATCAGCTCCAAAAATGAAAGTTGCTCATCCAACTGGAATCACCAACTTTGCTTTAAGGATCTACCCCCAAAAAGTTGATAGTTTTGAAGATTTTGAATTTCGAAAAGGAGTACTTTAAACTGAAACTGCAATTCAGTTAAGGTTTTCAAATTTTTGTTTTGATAAGCAAACTTTGGCAAATAATTTATGAACAACCACTAATCATCCATCTCAACCAATTACACATTATCCTAGTCCAAGTATACTACCAAGCAATGAAATAAAGGTTGACCAAATTTTACTTATGAAAATTCATTTAATAATTCAACAAAAACAGAGCTTAATAACTTTATTTCAGGGACTTGGTCAGAATGGCTAAGTGTGGAATTCAGTATCAATTCCAACCTTTGAGCTCAAAATTAAACATGCTTGACTTATAAATATCATCAAACTTTTATTTCATATGAAAGCACACACTTAACACTACAAAGTTTATATTAACAAAATTTTACTTGTTTTAAGCAAATTCACATATATAAATTCACAAAAACCTTAATCACTAATGTTGTCAACATTTTATGCAACATATGAAACACCACATTTGCAACATATGAAACCTACTCTTGAAACATGGAATGCATTTATGCCACATTGCTTGATGATTATGCATGATAATGACCATGACCAAGATTCTAATTGTTTCTTAACATAAATGATGCTCATGATCAAGTTTTAACTACTTTTCAACATCTAGGATGTTACAGGTTTGGAACCGGCGGTGAGGAACTTTCTATAATAGTGAATGGGTATCTCACTTGTCTCGGCATTTAATACGATGGTGAAAAGGAACCCCAAGATCACCGCCGCCAGATCCATCGCTTACCCGGCGGTGATAGAAATTTCTCCGCTGGTTTGATTGCTTCCCAGGCCCGTCTACCTCTAACCAGCGGTGAAACAAAATCACCATCGGTTATGTGTAATAACCAGCGGTGATAATGGCATCTGGAATAGCACAGTCTGTAGTAGTGGAAGGTCATACCTTCGAGGGAGGAGCCTTCGCTTGCCTGAGCTCCGCTTTGTTCAACTCCTACGCATTGTCGTGATACGCTTATCCCGACATGCTCTAAGGGTTTTGGAATGCTTATTATGCATATGATAATTACAAAAAGGAATTTCCATGTTTCCTTCTCTATATATACTATTTAGCTCAAATTATACCCTCAAATAACTAATCAAACAAAAGCCTTAATATGGGAAAGACAAGCAATACTTATACATCACGCTCTCCCTCATTTGAGACTCCTGTGGGGTAGAATGACTTGCAACAGTTATATACTGTATTTCTATTGTAGAGAAATGAGTTGAAAAGTGTGCTATAAGTTGGAGAGTAAAACTATAGCATAGTGATCTATAGAATTTATTTTCATCTTCCACCTTATGAATTTGAGACAGGCTTATTTGTGAGCCTGCGAATGTTATAAAATGTTAAATTCCAAGCCAAATAGTCTAATCCATAAGTAGATTTTAATTTCTCTAAAATAAAAGGATCCAAACGGCCGCTATGAGTATATGCAATGACTTTTTACCTTAAACCCACAGAGAAAGAGACGGACAATTCTTCATTCCACCTTGAGTGGTGTTGCACGGTTGCAGCTTGCAGCACACTTCTCTTGCGCCGTCTCTCCGCCTCCAAGAGCTCCTTGATGTGTGCACACAGCCCAGCTGCTTGCCCATGCCTTCGGATATGCCACTCGTGCATGTACTCCCCGGTTTGTTTTTAAATGTCATATTAGCTTTGTATTAAGATAAATATTTGTATCTTTGACTGTTCATCTTTTTTAAAAAAATATTAAGATTCACGACATAAGATTATATTTTTAGATTATGATAAATGTTTTATAATATATAATTTATATGTTGTGAAACTATAAGTATTCTTTGAAATGTATAGTCAAATCAAAGATTGTAAGTAGCCAGTGTTAGCAGCCACACCGTGATGCTCTCTTGTACATTATTTGATTCTAGCCCTGTCAACTACATACTCAACTTCTTAAACTGCTCCATACGTAGCCGTACGTAGAATCAAAGATTTGACGGTTTCAATAGTGCTTATGTGACTCAACGCAACGCAAACGACTTTGAATACCGTCGTCGGCCGTCGGGAAATGCAGCCATACGACCGTAGAGTATAGAATTTATTTTGTATTTGACTGAAATCCGTAGAACTCCGAGTAGTCCGTCCGCTCGCGCGCGCCTATAAAAGGTCTCTTTGCTCGCCGATTCTAACATGCACAGTCGATCACCAAATTCACCATCCTAGCTTTGTAACAGCCTTTGGCCTGCGGCTTCAAGGTCACAACAAGTGTAAGATCGATCTCGCTCACTCTATCTTTCTACTCCCAATGTATGTTTATAATCTTGGCAGTACATACCCATTTCAAAATGTTCAATCCATATGATGATATATAATGCTGTATTAATTATTCCTTTTACCTGAGGAGAGTGTAAGATTTTTAAATGCAAAGTGGTGATCTTTTCGGTCCAGTTTATAAGACGCGCATGTATATTAAGATTTAAACTTTACAATCAATTATTGTTAACTATAAGTATAATACTTGTCTTCACTTATTCCTTTTGTTAGGGCGTTAGGCTGGTTGGTTTGACACCAACATGGATCTAATGATCATTGTTGCAGCATGTCTGACCATAGCAATTTTGTATGCCACTACCAAAATGGTCCAAAGGAGAACTCTGCCCGAAACTAAGCAGGGACCTTCACTCCCACCTGTAGTGAGCACAGTTTCATTGCTTGCATATGTGCCGACGCTTGTAAGAAGTGGTCTACCGGCTGTGATCGATCACCTGCACACGAAGCTGGGTAGCGTGTTCACGATGAGTCTTTTTGGGCTCAAGAAGGTGACGTTTCTGGTCGGACCAGAGGTGACGGCTCATTTTTTCCAAGGCTCGGAATCAGAGATCAGGCAGTCCAGTATCTACAAAGTCACGGTGCCCGTTTTTGGGCGAGGGGTTCTGTACGACGTGGACTTGGCTACCAGGAGCAGGCAGATCAGCTTCTGTATCGACTCCGTAAAGCCCATGAACTTGAGAGGCCATGTTGATTCTATGGTTCATGAGGTGGAGGTACGTAATTAAGAAAGCAACGTCGTTTATTATTATTTTTCCAATTCAATTCTCCTATATTTCAGGTCCCTGAATTTTGAGATCATTTCGGGCAACACTCTTATATTACCAATTAGTATAAGTAAGGGCCTATTTGGATGGACTAGGACTAACAACTAGTCCTATTAGCTCTTATAAATGGACTAGTAAACTAACAACTAGTCCATGACTAATAGACTAACAATTAGTCCGCTTATTTGGAGGTTTATGGACTAAAAATTAGTCAACTAGTTATTAGTTCCATGGATCCAAACATGACCTAAATTGTCATTTTTCTGATTTGTTATTTGTCTTCGTGTCATAATGTATCAAATTTTTATTTTTGTCTGACTATAGAAAAAATTGTAATAAATTGTTAAATTGTCTTTGTGCCAACACATCAGATTTTATAAGGTTTGTGGTTTTGTCAAATGGGTTTTTTTATTCTCGGAACCAAAAATTGCTGATTGTATCTACAGAAATTGCAACCAACTAAAACAAAAAATTTTAGTATAAAATATATGCAATAACCGTCGTCCGAATGAAAACTAAAATTTAGCAAATCCCTTTTTTTCATCCGAAAATTCCATGCTGTAATATATAATTAATCAGAGTCCTTTATTCATTTTTATTATGATTTCCTTCACTCATGATCATGTGTGTGTCTTATTATTAATTATGATGCCATCACCATGCATAAAATAAATCTACCTGCATTGTAGGACTACTTTGCACAATGGGGGCAACACGGTGTGGTGGACATAAAGCACGAGATGGGGCATCTCATCCTGCTCATAGCAAATCGATGCTTGCTTGGAAAACAGTTCCGAGAGAATGTGTTCGACGAAGAGGTATCCACACTCGTCCACGAGCTCTTCGAGAACGGCTTCCACTTGATTAGCCTCTTCTTCCCGCACCTCCCTATCCCGCCGCACCGTCGACGTGACAAAGCCCGTGCCAAGCTGGGGGAGATCATCCACAAGGTGGTGAGGTCACGCAGGAGCTCAGCAGCTGGCCGCGCCGCCGAGAACGACGATGTGCTGCAGAGATTCATGGACTCCAAGTACATCAACGGCCGCTCCATGACCGAGAGCGAGATCGCCGGGCTACTCGTGTGCCTGATGTTCACCGCGCAGCACACGAGCTCCAGCGCCAGCACCTGGACTGGAGCCTGCCTGCTCAGCCATGGCGGGAGCAGCTACCTGGCAGCTGCCGTCGAAGAGCAGAAGCGGGTCATGGAGCGACACGGCGAGCGCGTCGACTACAGCGTCCTGCAAGAGATGGGCACCCTGCATTGCTGCATCAAAGAGGCGCTGAGGCTGCACCCTCCGGCGAACTTGCTGATCCGCCACGCGAGCAAGGGCTTCAGCGTGCGAACAAGAGAAGGCGACAGATTTGACATCCCCAAGGGGCATACCCTAGCGACCTGTACGACGGTGGGCAACAGGCTGCCGTACATCTACAAAGATCCTCATGTGTATGATCCCAGCAGGTTTGGTCCGGGGAGAGAGGAGGACAAAGTTGGCGGCAAGTTCTCGTATACACCCTTTAGTGCTGGGAGGCACGCTTGCTTGGGAAAGGATTTTGCTTACATGCAGATTAAGGTGATATGGACCCATTTGCTTAGAAACTTTGAGCTTGAGTTGATCTCCCCTTTCCCGGAGGAAGAATGGGAGAAGTTAGCTCCAGGGCCTAGACGTAAAGTGATGGTTAGTTACAAGAGGCGAAGACTGCTGCCGTGATTAGCATAGAGTAAGTTGTTGGGTTGCTTGCTTGCTTGTGTACTTACATGGGGCTTATGTGTCATGTGTGTATTGTGGAGAAAGAATAATGGGATGACTAGCGCTTGGACGTCCGGCCCTACGACCCGTCCAGACGCACCTGAAAGCATCTAGGCCCCTTGTTGGGTTTCGGTGATTAATGACAATACAAGATTACTATGACTAACGTGTGTTTTGCAGAGGCAATTAAGTTAGGTCATGGTAATGGTGATCGATTAGGCAATCGAGGTGGTCATGCCCCTACGATGGAAATCGTTTCGGTTTTCAAAGGATGGACGACAAGGTTAAGGATGACTAGTTCTAAGTGTCGATTGGAGTTGGAGTGACACTTAGAGTAGTTTAGAACTTTGTTTTTCCTTTGGCTGTACTATTAAGGAGGATATGGACGGGTAGCTTGACCTAGATGAGTCTAGTGAGTTAGGTGTGGTGTACACTTGTTTAAACTAGCTCTAGGTAGCTCCTATATATGCCTAAGATCCAATGGAGCAAACTTCATTCACACATGATCGAGAGTTGAAGGTGAATAGAGGGTCAAATACTGACCGGACGCTGGCCCCGGTGCGACCGGACGCTGGCCGCAGGGTCCGGTCAGTTCATTTGATCAAGGGACTGCGTTCGGTGCGACCGGACACTGGAGTGGTCAAGTGACCGGACGCTGAGAGGCAGCATCCAGTCGACTCCAGTAAGGTTCAAGAGAAGAGAATCTACGACCGGACGCGTCCGGTAAGTACTGACCGGACCCTGGGGGTTCAGCGTCCGGTCGAGTACAGTAAGGTTCCAGTAAGGGTTTAATGCGACCGGACGCGTCCGGTCAGTGGTGACCGGACCCTGTCCGCGTCCGGTCAACTCATTTTCACTGGTTCGCGGGTTGAACTGACCGGAGCGTCCGGTCAACATATACTTGATTTTAGTAACTTCACTAAAAGATGAGCTTGTGTTGTCCCTTACATTCATTGTAACATACTACATGGTTAATTCTTGGTAATGCATGTAGGGCTTGTCTAACATGGTTAAGATAACCGCCGAAAAGCGTGTGAAGAAGCTTAACCTTGATCAAACTTGACAAGCAACTAGATTTACTTACAAGTATTGCATATGCATGAATGTTGTTTTGTCGTTTTGTTCCATTTGCCTTCTTATTGCCTATTTTCTTAAAAAGAATTATAGCCTAAGGCAAAATATTTTGAAAAATATAAGGGTTTGAGAGAGGTCTCTCATATCAGTCCCAATTGGTGTTTATTTGGATCTTATTCATGTTGGGACTTGGTTGGGAACAGGCAGCGTGAAGGAACTTTGAAGACCTGCTGGAAAAAGTCCACCGGATGCTGCACCGGACGCTGCTGTCCAGCGTCCGATCAGTTCACAGGAGGTGAACTGCTGCTGAAGGTGTGACCAGACTCTGCGTTTCAGCGTCCGGTCAGAAGACGTTCAGCGTTCGGTCGTGTGATGAAGACGAAGAAGTGTTGACCGGACCCTGCCTTCGTCCGGTCATGGTCCACCGGACACGTCCGGTTGTGATTTCAGGGGTTTTGGACCTTACTGGAATCAACCGGACGCTGGGTGGTAGCCGGTCTGTGGATCTCGCGCGGCTTCAGGACTCCTTTTCCGTTTCCTTCTTTGTCGTGTCGGGGTACCTTATAATCGATTCGGCCGTATCCGTTTCCTCGCCTAACCCTAGCCGCCGTCTGCCCCAGTCACCTCACGCCGCCGCATTGCGCCGAGACGTCGCGCTGCCGTGCCGTGCCCGTGCGACTTCGCACGCCGCCAGCCTCACTGCCGCCGCACTCTCGCGCTTTTACTCTCATGCCCGCGCGCCGCCCGTGTTCCCACGTATCGCCACAGCCGCGCCCGGTCACCTCCTCCTCACCAGCGCCGCAGTGCCTGTCGGTCCACCTCGCCGGTTTCTTGCGCCACAGAGCCACCGCGCCAAGTTCCACCGCCCTGCTCCACCGTGCCCTAGCTTCACCGGTAAGGCCGTGCCCTAGCATCGACTGAACTTTGCCAGCAACCTAGATCAATTTCAAAGCTTTGTTTTCAATTGCTTCCAGGGTCGCCGATTCACCATTAAACCCTAACCCTAACCCGATTCCGAGGTTCCCCGCGTGACATCTTGTCTTTTCTCGGATCACCGATCGACAGGTAGCAAGCCAGTCGCTTCAATTTTGTACCTTCATTGCTTGCTCTAATAGGTTTTCGCATCTATTAGAAATATCATATTTATTTGTATATCTATCTATTCCATCGTGCAGCGAGTCGGTGTCGTTGAGTATTGTGTGGTAGTTGTCAGTCAACTCGGAGCCAAGGTCGCGAGTAAGGATTGAGGCCAAGCCTTGAAAGTGTTAGTGGCAGTTGATCTTGTCAGCGACAGTTCATCTTCTTGTCAGATCAGATGGCTCGCACCAAGAACGTCGGAGGTGGTCCAGGGGATGATGATCAGAGGCCCCTGCCTCACCTGCCCACAGATCCAAAAGGCAAGGCGACAAAGAAGATTGCATCCAAGAAGCGCAAGTATCCAGATGCTGAGACCGCCAGAGCAGCAGCAGTTGCAGAGGCCGTAGAACATGCCGAGCGAGGAGGTGCTCACAGTGGAGTTGTGATTGTAGATCCGCCAGTTTCAACAGATGCAAGGACTGTGACAGTGAGAGTTCAGCGCCTTCTTGGTAGTCCACCAGGGACTGTCACTATTGAAGGAGGGCAGTATACTATTGGTGAGGGTCAGCCTCAAGGGACTTCACAGCAGTAGCCCCCACCAGCAGAGCCTCAGCTAGCTTAGGAGACTCAGGAGGGCTAGCAGGCCGAGGAGGCAGAGGATATAGAGCAGGCACCACAACCCAGCTTCGCCGCTCTGGTCGAACCCATGCTACAGTATCACTGAGGCCAGCTACTCAGCACAGAGGTTCACGCCCACCGCCCAGACCACAGGGTCCGCCTCTAGTGGTACACCTTGACTTGAGGGCTGCCACAGCCAGACAAGTTCGCCAGTTGAGGTTTGTTGAGTTCGATGTGTGGTTTCCTCCAAGGAGGGATGAGAGAGCAGCAGAAGGGTTCTACACGCCGCTCCAGGAGGATTTCTATAATGCCTATCTCAACAGTGGGGCAGCGTTCAGATCTTAGAGAGTCTGCAGTTTAGAGTCTATTGTGGCAGCAGCTGGAGAGCACATCCGCCCCTACTTGTCATATTTGCCGGGGCTCGCAGATCTGATTGGGCGGACAGGAGTATATGTACCATCTTGGGTTTGGCAGTTTTATGCTTCACTCTACATTGATCCGCATCACAACTTCATTCACTTTGCATTCAACGGCAGAGATTACAGGGTGATGAGTTTCAGGGCCCGGGAGATACTGAGACTATAGGATCAGCTTGTCAAACTGCATAAGGTATGTTATGGACAGCAGGAGCCACCCAGGCATCCTCATGGAGGGTTGGTGCCCCCTATAGATCTGGTGCGACATTGCTTCAAGGAGCCCTTTGGTGAGGGGTCAAGCAGGAACCCCAGTGACCTGACACCTACAGCTTGAGTGCTAGAGGCCATTATCAGGAGGACACTACTTCCCCGGTTGGGATACAGAGAGGGTCTGACTCGCCTACAGCTCTGGCTCCTTAATGCCCTGATGCAGCAGACCGTGTTCGACATTTGGGACCTCCTTCTATCAGAGATGGAGGATACTTGTAACAGAACCGACCAAATCATAAGAACGTAAGTACAAAAACAATCACCGAAGTGATCAAATTCCTGTACTTAAGCTCCCATAATCCCGGTAGTCCGGAAATCACAAAGGATTTCAACCAACTCTCGACATACAAACCAAGATCGTAATGATTCAACACAACACATCATTCGTTACAACATTTCACAAGTAGCATTCGGATTACATCCATCAGAGTTCAAATAAAATATTACAAACCAAGTTTGAGTGTGCGGAAGCAACATAGTTTAGTACATAACTTCATAGTTTCAATTACATTGCCGGATCGAGTCATGTCCCACAAAAGCATTATCGGTATGAGAACTAGTAGAGACCGCGCCTAACGGTCTAGTCTTCATCCCAAAGAGGGAGAGGCAAGATTTGCGACAACCAAAGAAGAACCGGTCATACGCAGCGGTGAGAAATAAACCCCGAGTACGAGAAGGTACTCACTAGACTTACCCGACAAAAATCGAAATAAAAGACACCAAGGATCATGCAAGGCTTTTCGTGTGGGCTAGCTTGACACATTGCATAAAAGAGCTTATGATTATAGTAACCAATTTAAACTTATTATCAAGCTTATTATTATTTACCATCCACTAGATTAGCTTTTGTATTTAGAGCACTCACTTATTAGGAGCAAACAATATTAACCATAGCAGGTATAATAAAATTTGTCATCATCATATCATCATTCCGAACCATTAAGTTATTAAGTGTATCTACATTGGAGATAAGCCCGTCAAGTTCTCACTAACCGGGAGAGAGGCGGCGATTGAATCGAATTACAACTCAGGTGAGGGGTATTCCTAACTCTCACCCGGCATACTTTGCAAGGGTAGCCGTGGTCACCTTTGGAACATCTCAGAACCAAATTCATTTGGTTCGATCGGCGCCAAGACTCTCGTGGATTACCCTTCCGCCAGACGATCGGGACTTTTAAATCACGCCCTTGGACTCACGCCTCGGCTCCCTTCCGAGGCGCACTTTATACTTATCGACTCCCGGCCCGAGGTGAGCTACTCGCTTCCGTGGTCGGTCATCGGACACGGCCAACTAAGAGAGAGGCATGCGTTCAACATGAGCAGGAAAGGCTCCAAGAATCAGTCCTTAAGCGACATAGACGGAGTCATCGCAAACCGGCAAGCCTCCGTCCGGTCTTCATTTCAAATTAAGACCGGTTCTTTTCCACGATAGCAAATATAGCCAACCGTGCCACATGTATCATCCTATATCTCGCGGTGGTGAAATCACCCGACTTCTACCGCGTT